TGCCCCCACAGTCTGTGTCCTCATTTCACCCACCTCGGAAGGATGGAAGGCTGAGTCAACCTTAGCAATAGCAATAGCAATAGCAGTTAGACTTATATACCGCTTCATAGGGCTTTCAGCCCTCTCTAAGCGGTTTACAGAGTCAGCATATTGCCCCCACAGTCTGTGTCCTCATTTCACCCACCTCGGAAGGATGGAAGGCTGAGTCAACCTTAGCAATAGCAATAGCAATAGCAGTTAGACTTATATACCGCTTCATAGGGCTTTCAGCCCTCTCTAAGCGGTTTACAGAGTCAGCATATTGCCCCCACAGTCTGGGTCCTCATTTCACCCACCTCGGAAGGATGTAAGGCTGAGTGAATCTTGAGCCAGTGAGATATGAACCGCTGAACTGCTGATAACAGTCAGCTGAAGTGGCCTGCAGTACTGCACTCTAACCACTGCGCCACCTCGGCTCTATATTATTATGTTTTCTGGTGTAATATATAAAAATATATCATTTGTAAAGTCTTTCCAAAATGATATTCTAAGTATGTGAGTTCTTTATTATCTCTGTTATTTTGTATTTTTCAGCTATATAACATGTTTCCCATGCTTGGCTTTCTTTTTGGCGCTCGTAAGAAAGTCCTGAAGAACAGAAAGGAATTACGTGCTTTTCTCAATGAAAACTTCATCCAGTGTCTTAACAATCTAGATGAAAATGACACAAGAAACTTTATTGATTCATATCTTGTACAACAGCAACAGGTAATGTAATGTGCAGAAATGGCAGCTTGAAGTTTTCCATAAAATTTTGCAAATTGAAGCACCTGCAATTGGCAAGAACCCTTATTACAGGGAAAAGAGCAAACCTAGCAAATTGGCAAGGGTCTCCAAATATTGAGCAATCATTCACTCTGCCTAGTGTTCAGTACACTACTTTCTTTGGAAAGTTTTGTATTATAATCACTAACCATCATTATTATGGTCACTGATCCCCATCTAATTAGCCTAAACTTCCAAGAAATTGAGAACTCTAGGAAAGTAATCATCTATAATAATCTTTTTTATATATTTATTGTACATTACAATGTTAGAACCCCCATAATAAATTCTTCCTCTATATGGATATCAATAAAGAAAAATTTGCTTTGAATGCCTACAAGTTGGCACACATTTGGGAAGTATTATATTTAATTGTAATGTTTTTGTTTTGATTCTTAGAAAATTTGCACAAAAGAGAGATAGCGGCATATAAAAAGAGCATTATTGGGTAGTTACATCATTTGCATAGAAAGTAATATACTGCATTTCAAGAAAAAAAGCATGTTCAAAGACTGTTACAACAACACCTACTAATTGTTGTAATAGGGTTTCTTTAAAAACTTATTTAAAACACAATAAATAAATTATGAATACCAGTACATTAAAATTGTACAGATATAGATTAATCCACTGAGAGATGCAGGTCTTCGTACACTGCATTTCATTTAGGAAATGTCACTGGAGATGTACAATCAGTGGTGGGTTGCAAATCCCATTCCAACAGCGATGCTCCACGGAGCATTGTGCTGGCGCTGTATGCGCCATGCATCTGCGCAGAAGTGCAGAAGCCTTTAAACACCGGTAGGGAGCATGAGCTGGTGGGTGGGCCCTCCGGAGTACCGTACCGGAATGGTATCCGGTGCTCCGGGCTGGCTCCGGTACGCCTGTACCGTGGCGTACCGCCTGCAGCCCACCACTGTGTACAATGTTTGGGTGAAATCTTGGGAAGATTTCAGAAGTGGTTTGCCATTGCCTGCTTCTTAAAGCTGAAACAGAATGACTGGCCAAGGTCACCCAGCTGATTTCATGGCTAATGAAAGACTAGAACTCACGGTCTCCCAGGTTTAGCCTGATGCTTTAATCATTATACTAAACTGGCTCTCTACTTACATATACACACACATACTTTAATTATCTACACAGATACAATCCACCTACTGAAACTGATATACTCTCTCACATAGACTCCGAGAAGGAGTAGAATTAATCTTTTCCAATGATGGTTATGGAACTGAAGATTAAAAAAACCCTCATAGTGTGTAGAGTTGTAACCTCCTGAATAATAACTATCATGTGAATAATTATTTATAAAATGTGTAGCAATCCCAAAGTGGGGAATGACTGTATCAAATAGGATTTAAACTAGAGCATTTTAGAACCCAAACCTCATCTGTATTGAGAATGCCATATTTGTAGAGTCCTGTGAAGATTCTGTCAATAGGTAATATCCATTAAATCTTAATGACCAGCAGACAAGATTACCCATTGTTATTCAGGTCAAACCTTGGTTGATAGAAAGGTCGCCAGCAAATACAAGTGATTGCAAACCCAGACTGATCTCAGTTTGGAACATTTTCAGAATGGTTGAAAAACTGGTAAAGTCAGAACATTTTGAACTCAAGGTGGACTACTTCAAAGCTTAAAACATTTTGCATGCTACTAGTTTACCTTTTGCACAAGTCAGATTTCCACTGAGAAAGAGTGGGAATCTGGCTTTTAAAAAAAGATATCTGGATAGAAAGTTGCTGATTTCTATAGGTGCAACTAGAGATTGCTGTAGAGAAGGTTGCACATTCTTTGCAATGTGTCCAGGAGTGTACCCTTTTAACACCAATTTTAAAAGCAGGCTCTTTTTTTTTAACTTTAGGAAAGAAAGACCCAGAGCAATGGATATTTTCACCATAAAAATCTAGAAGAGTCCGTGACAAATCTATTCATTGCTGGTGTGGAAACAATCTCAAGCACTCTATTTTGGGCCTTTACTCTAATGATGAGGTACCCTTTAATTCAGAGTAAGTGCTTTACAATTTGACAGCTTCCATTATTTCACTATCTTGATTTCAGGTAAACAGTGTTAAATGTGGAGTAACTAAGATAAGTGACAATGGCTCTGAATAATATCTAAGTAAAGGAGGAAAAAAAGTCAAAGAATTCCATTTCCAATTTTCTGTACTGACTTGAATCATGCAGAAACACAAATGGAGAACCTGCCTTAAAGGAACTGCTTCTTTTCCATCCCTGTGTATGCTCCAGAACATGTTTTGGACACCAAATCCAAAGAATGGTGTAGCTCTAGAATTTAGTGAATACATGTTATTAGCAATAGCAATAGCAGTTAGACTTATATACCGCTTCATAGAGCTTTCAGCCCTCTCTAAGCGGTTTACAGAGTCAGCATATCGCCCCCACAG